CAGTTCGCAGACAGATGACAGTGTGGCTATGTGCTTCCAAGGACAGTCCTCTGTACAGGAGGATTTTGCCAGCTAGGTGAGACATCATTTAAGTGACACAGGGTGGATGGTAAGGAAAGACTCTCTCAGAGAGGGTGGTTGCTGCTAAACATCCCATGACATGTGATACACACAGGGCAGGTTCCTTACAGCAAATTACTCACCCTGAAATACGCACAGGGTAAAGGTCGAAAAAGCCTGCTTGGGAGTGTGATGCAAATAATTACAGTACATTAAGAGTGACAGAGCAGCTAGGTTTTAAGTTCAACACACAGCACAGAGGAAGCATAAAGAAAGAAACAGGCTAGACTTTCTGGAAGATTATGTCAGGGACAGAAAAATTTCATCTGATTCTCCTCAGACTTCCACAACCCAACTCCAGTTTGACACTTTGACTTTTTTCTTTTTTTCCTGAGACCGGGTTTCTCTGTATTGCCCCAGATGTCCTGGACTTGCTTTGTAGTCCAGGCTGGCCTTGAACTCACATGATATCCACCTGCCTCTGCCTCCCCGAGTGCTAGAATTACAGTCATGAGCCACGCACCCAGGTATACCTTGACTTTCAAATCTTACATTGTTGTTCCCAACACCAGGACTGCCAAATGCTCTGAGCTGCAAATCCTCTACGTTGCTTAGTCTGTTTCCCGGTATGGACAGCCATGCTTTCCCTCCTGCTAGCCCAAGCCTCTACGGTTCTCTCTCCAGCAAGCCTCTAGTAAACTTCCTTAAGCTCCTGGATGATGTACTCTGTCTATGCCACTTAGCATGCTGGCTTTGGTATCATTTATTAGGTTCTGTTGTTTAACTTGTAAGCGGTCATTTAACTGACTTTTTTGTCTCTAGATTAACGGTCTACTTAGGACAACTTCTCCAACACAATATAGCAATCGCTTCCTGCATTATGCTACTACTAAGAGCACACATTTTAAAAAGCGGCATTGTGTATCGAGCATCACAGTCTCTCTGTGTTCAGCTCATGACAATCTGAACATACTGGATTACTAGAAAGTTATTTCCAGTGCACAGGGCAGCCAGCTTCTGGGCTGGATGGCTATTGGTCCAACAGATTAATGATGCCATGTCTGAAATAGGCTAACTCAAAGATCACCTCCAAGATTCTCCTAAACTGGGCTCGAGAAGGCCCATGACTGTAAAAGAAACTTTTATTCACCTGGTTCAATTGTTGTCTGGGAGGCTTACTACCTCTGTCTGCTAACCTAGGCCTAGTCCTAGAAGCTTCTGGCCTCCAAACAATTTAACCTAGAATGTTTAGGCCTAGAATGTTTTCTGCCTCTGAGACTTTCTGCTTAATATGCTCAACCTTTCTTGTTCTTACTGAGCTCTAGGCTGGCTGGTTCAACTCAGCTGTTCTGGCTCAAACTCCTCTCCTACCTAAGTGGATCAATCTGGCTTTTCCCTCAGTCTCTGAATTGCTCTGCTTGGCTTCAAACTAACTTCAGCCATTTGCTCTCATCTTCTGGCTCCTTCTCATTTTCTAGCTCATTTGGTCTTCCCCTGAGTTCTCAATCTGTCTATCTATTACTGTTCCAGTAAAACTGCCTCCTTCTTTCTGTATTGCCCCTTAAGTAGCTTCCCTTTCCCCTCTCTTCTTGTGAAAGTTGGGAGTATCCTATTCTGTCAAGTCTTTCTCTGATTCATTACCTTTTCTGCCACTCAATTAGGCATCACTTTGAAACATGGATGCTTCCTTCTACAAACTGACTTCACCTTCATTGCTTGGGATTAAAGGCATGTACTACCACGTGCACCACCTGGATCTAAGCTTTTCTTTACCTGAGACTTGCTCTGTACCAGGCTGGCCTTGAACTCAGAGCTGCTTGCCTCTGTCTCCTGGATTAAAGCCGGAACACACCAATCTAGAAGGTCTTCGGATGCGGTCTCTTGACAGAACAGCCACGTTATGAATTAAAATTCCTCTACAGTCTACCATGATTCTACATGGTGGGCTTTCATGAGAGAAGAACAACATAAGGGGTTCAAGGCTATGAACTCTGAGGCCATGCTGGGTTCAAATCCTACTGTTTAATGCCCCATTACATAAGTTAAGTAAATAAGTTAATGCAAAGTATTTAGAAAAGTATCTCCCACTTGACAAGTACTAACCATCATTATCAACAGTATAAACCTAAGGGAGGAGGCACTGTTTCACTGCAGGAGTCATAGGGAACTGAGTCCTCAAGAGGTTTCTGAACATTTTAGATAAATTTGGGCACAGTTCTTCAGTTGTCAGAAATTCTGCTCTCCCAACTCCCCCTTTTCTCATGCATTTTGTTGTTGTTGTTGTTGCTGAGACAGGGTTTCTCAGTGTAGCCCTGGCTATCCTAGAACTCACTCTGTAGACCAGGCTGGATGCAAACTCAGAAATCCGCCTGCCTCTGCCTCCCAAGTGCTGGGATGCTTGTGCCACCAAAGCCCACCTAAAGGCCTCGACACGAATGCTTTCCAGTTTGGAGGGAAGACACAGGACTTAGACCCATCACTGGATGGGAATTACTGAGAGGAAGCAGTTGACAGGAAGTTATTACCTATCAAGAAACCCTTTCTCCTTTAAGTAGGGCAGTACAAGTGCTCCTGTGCCCTGTAACATTGCCACCAGGGTCCAGGGACTCCAGGCCTGGAACCCTATGTGCACTGTGAAAGCAGAGGGACAGACTTGTGTTCAGCTACCTTTCTAAGGGTCATCCTGGGAGACAGCCTGTGCTAGCATCTGCTTGATTGCTTGCTTGTTTTTAAAAATGTAAGGAGGGGCCGCTGCCACCCAGCTTGTTCTATGTATGTTATTAACGCAATAATGTCTGTGTATCTGGAGCAAACCATGCTCAGATGGGTTTGCCTCAACTTCATGGCATTGTGCACTGTGGCTCATCTAGTCATCTAACGCTGGTGCACCTTCAGGTCAACATTTTAGAAGCCAACTTTGTCTGTTTGGCCGTTTGTCACTATTCGGGGTTGAACCCCTATAGGACCTGAGGGCATGCTGGTCTAGCCCCCAGAAACTACACTTCACCTCTGTAACGACCCAGTTATTGACCTATAAGTAACAGTGCTGTCACCAGGAAGTCTGACCCATGTGTATTCTACCAGCTGACTGCTTTGCCAAAAGACTGACTTTCAAAAGTCTGTTCATAAACTTTAAAACACTGAGGCAGGCATGGTGGAGCACGCCTTTAATCCCAGCCCTTGGGAGCCAGAGGCAGGCAGGCTGATGTGGTTGGAGGCTAGCCTGGTCTACAAAGAGAGTCCAGGACAGCCAAGGCTACACAGAGAACCCTGTCTTGAAAAACTGAAACAAACAGACAAACAAAATATAATAAAACAAAAAAACCTTTAAAACAGCAGATGAATTTGAACACAGTCTGACTTTGAGATACAGATGCAACTACATTATTCCCATTCAAGTACAAGTGTAGCATAAAAGCTAAAAATCAGTAGGCTTAGGTGTTGTGGTACATGTCTCGAATTCTAGCACTCAAGAGCTGGGGTACGAGGGCCACAAGTGTGAGGCCAGTCGGGGAGACAAACATAGTAATTTCCAGGCAAGCCTGGGCTATAAGAGAAAGGGAAGAAAGAAGGAAGAAGGGAAGAGGGGGAGGGGAGGCAGAAGATGGAGAAAAAAAACCCAAGATGAAACAAATGTCAACCTGCAAAAGGCAACTTTCTCTCTAGGTGTTCTGCTTCAAGCGCACACACTCGGCCACTATTCTGCTGTAAAGAGGCTGAAGTTATACGACCATCAACTATTTTCTCTTAACTTAGGGGGTAAGAAAAACGAACAGAAACAAAAAAACACTTTTCTAAGGGTCCCGAGAATTAGTAAACCACTGCATTCCTCACACCCAGTGCACAGGCCGGGAGGGAAGTTTGCACCCAACGGTGGGAACTGCTTTCTCTTCCGCTGCTAATAAATTATAGGCCGACTTGAACAGATGTCAGCTTGGCATTCAAAACCTAAAATATAGCTGAAAAGCAAGTTATGACTAATACAAGGGAAAAAGATGAATGTCAGAAACATTCATTCCCCCCCCCCCTTTTTTTTTTTCAAATTTCAGATAAGCTCTTTAGCCTCAGGGCTCCGTTTACAGAGCCCCAGAGTTCGAAGGGATGTCTTAACCCCCATTTAAATCGCAGCCTCTCCTCCAGAGTGGGGGTGTGAAATGCATTTTCAGAGTGTCAGTGTTTATGTTAATCTCAGCAGGAACTCCCTTTCTCCCGAATATGGCTGGCAAGCCCAGAGCTCCCGTCCTCCTTCTTTTCCCCCACATTGTATTTGTGCTGTAGCTAGCATGTGAAAGATCCTGGTGTGACTGAAGACTCCTTACAGTCTTTCCTTCAGAGGAGCTGCAGTCTCTGGACAGAAGTTGCTTTCCTCTTTAGTTTCACAAGAAATCTTAAACATGAAGGTTAGAAATGGGCTTAGTGGGGAGAGATAAGGGAAAGGACAAAAAAAAACCCCTCAACATCAAAGAGTGGGTCACAAGTCTTTCAGAAGGGGCTTTCCTCCGGATTTGGTGGCCTGGGTGCCCAGAGCCCACGGGTCCCTGAAAAGCAGTGAATCCGCCACTCTGTGTCCCTCCCACCGGGCTCTCCAGAAACAGGCCCTCTCCATGGGGAGATGTGAACCTACTCCCAAGACGATGCTAAGGGCCGCTGAGTGACTTGGTAGCTGTTACTCCAATGCTCTTAAAAAGAATTTGTTCTTTGGCTCGAACATTTACGGCTCTGAGGTTATTGCCAGGGATGCTGAAAATGAAGTTTCTTTGGAGAAGCACCCTTTGCCAACATAAGAGCTACAATGGGAATTGAGGTGATTCATCACTCATTTATCCTGACCATTCTCCACAAAACTGCGTGCAAGGAGTAAGTGCGGTAAATGTCTGAACAGGACACCGGAGAATGCTCAAGGGCAGCCATTAGACACTGAGATCACTCAGCTCCCAACGCTAGCTTCTGGTGTTCCCGCTGCTATGCTGCACGCTACGCGACATGACGCGAATGGTGGCGCTTATTCCGTATAAGGACTTCAGGGAGTTGCTGATTAAGCATCTGTCACCCGGGGCTGGGAGACACTCTATCTGGTGTTCACTAGGTGTCAAACACAGGTTTAGTTTTCACCGTTTCCAAGAAAGACCTACCCTGCATGGGTCTGAGTGAGCCTGACTGCTACAGACCAGAAAAGAAAAAGGAAACAGACTGATGGACATAGGACAGAAGTCTCAGCAGATGCTCAGCATAGCTGAGCCTTTTCCTATTCCCACAAAGCCATCATCACTCAGTCTCTAGAACCTTATGTGACTTATTTTCTCTTTAAGGATTTCCCTAGGCTTTTATAGTGCACACACACACACAAAGATTTATTTATTATCAGAAGTCTCATTATAGATAGTTGTGAGCCACCATGTAATTGATGGGAATTGAACTCAGGACCTATGGAAGAATAGCCAGTGCTCTTAACCTCTGAGCCATCTCTTCAGCCCCTTCCTTTTTTTGTTTGTTTGATCATTTTGTTTTGTTTTTTGAAACAGTGTCTCTCTATGTATCCTTGGCTGTCCTGGAACTCACTTTGTAGACCAGGCTGGACTTGAACTCACAGAGATCTGCCTGTCTCTGGGATTAAGAGCATGTTTTACCATGCCCAGCTAGGTTTTTGTTTTGGTTCGGCTTTTGGTTTTTGGAAGCAGGGTTTCTTTGTGTAGCCTTGCCTGTCCTGGACTCGCTTTGTAGACCAGCCTGGCCCTGAACTCATAGAGATCTGCCTGCCTCTGCTGCCCTGAGCACTGGGATTACAGGCGTGTGCCACTAGACCGAACTATGACTTCCTTAGTTTTAATTCTATAAAAAATATTTAAAAAGCAGGAAGGTATAGACATGCTTGAAAGTACCTAACAACAAATAAGATATATGCACATGTGCAAAAAATACAATTAGCATTCTTATTTCAAAGTAAGCATAAGTCCAGACTTCACAGGAGAGACAATTTTTTAATCCCAAAATAAAGTTTGGTTTTATTTTAAATAAGGCTTACCAATACCTTTTAAGCCACATAAATTACTTTCTAAATATTTTTCTCATTTAATTGATTTAACTGATCATACACTGTCTAATTATTAAACCCACAAAGTATAGTATTAAATCTATTTAGTGAACAAGGAGTGAGAAAAAAAATCAAATTTATTTCCACCTAACAGAGCAAGGAACATAAACAGCCACGGAAGAACATGTGTTAATTTCATTTATATTTGGTTTGATTGTTTCTCAGCCTTTTCCAAAAAATCAAGTGTATACTTGATCCCTGTGAAACACTTTTTACTTCTACCAAGCCAAATGATGAGTGTGTAACCAAATCTTCTTAGATGGCAATGAAATGCTTTTTTAATGCCCCCAAATTTCAAAGGAAAGAAGAAACCTCAAGAAATGATATCTACATAGAAGATAATTATTTCTCAGATATCAAACCCTGAGCAATGAAGCTTCCTTAAAAAAAAAGATACTAAGGCACTTCCCTTAAAAATGAGGAACACAGCAAGGTTTTGTTGCTGTTTATTTGTTGTTTTGTTTTAAATCAGCTCAAAATTCAAGGTAGCTTTATAGCAGGCTGTCATTTAAATTAAATTGACAATTCTTGCTTCTTGATGGAAGAAAGTCGTGGCAGGGTACTTTTAAAAGAATAAAGTTATTTTATTTTATTTGTCGTAAAAAAGGGTAAGTGTAGTAGAAAAATAAAGCCATAAAGAAGGCCAGGGAAAACAGCCCTCAGACTTCAAATCCATGGCCCCCGGTCAACAAGCAGGAGTGCGCACAAACATCTCCTCCAGCTCATTTCCTCCAAAACAGGGACAGATCGGGTCCAGGCTGACCGTCAGACCTGCTGGATTTCCTACTCAGTGGCAGGACTCCACCGATGGTCAAAGACACTGAATCCTTTCCCTCTCTCGGGCCCCCGCCATGAAACCAGTAAAAAGGTGCCACGAGAACGACATGCAACATTGAGAATCATCCCATCAACTGTTTTTACCTAAAGTATATTTAAATAACATTTCCACGTCTTGATCAAAACACCGTGAGGATTTACTGGGCCTCAAGAAACACCTTAGTAGGCAGTGAATGGCCACATTTCTTCCAACTTTCCAAATTAAAGTTCTGATTTTTTTATGGATTTGGCCTTTGTGTCTTGCAGATAAGAAGCATGTCACTGCCATTTCAAGGTGATGAGGGTCTCTGTCATTTTGTCTTAATCCAATTCTAAACTCGACCTTTACCCGGCCAACAGGTGTGTCCAGTGCTTGTGATGTGCCAGCGTGAGCAACCAGGCAGAAAAGCGACTGCCACAGCTGGCTCATGCAACCCAGTGCTCTGTGCTGCCGGGCTGCTCTCATCCACCATGATGAATATACTTTTATCTCCCGGTAGCAATTTAAGGAGGAAGAATGAGGGTGAGGGGAGCAGTACATTTGTATTCCTCCAGCTTTCTGGATCCCGTTTTTACACTCAGGCTGCAAGGGGCTATTATGAATTCCTTTCTTAGATACTCTGCTGCTCACATTCCAGTCCAACCAATGATACGGATATGAAAACAGTCCTGACAGTGTTTCCACTTGTGGGGGGGGGGGGGGGCAGAATCACTTCACACAGATAAACTAAATAAACCTTCAAGAAAAGAAAGTGACAAATGAGAGAGTGGGTATTTCTTCTCATGCAGCATGGAAACTCCCATATGCCTCCTGCGTCTGTCTTTGGGGATCAGACTTATCTAGTTAAAAACCTCGCCAAGTATCCATTTGCCAGACATGAAGAAGTGCTGATCGGGCCGTAAGCAGCACAACGCAAAGCAGCAGCCAGCCTCCGCACAATGTCCTCAGGCGGATGGATAGTGGCAGTTGACAGGCAACCCTGACCCACAGTGGGTCTTCAGAATGCCGTACCATGTCTCAAGTGCCCACAGAAAAACACTTCGAACAAGAGCAACTGTAAGAACTATTTCTATTATTCCTCCTGTAAGAGTAAATGTTTTAAGGGCTTCTCACAAAACTTAATGGCTCTTTTTGGTTTTTTTGTTTTGTTTTGCTTTTTGTTTTTTAAGAAGTTATAATTGGAAATACTTGTGTGGATTTGAAAAGTCATCTCGGAATGATGAGAAGGGCTTATCGTCAGCTTGTGCTTGCTTAGCAGCACAAGCCTTGGTCAGAAACTCACCCATCTGCTCCACGATCTCCGGAGGGAACACCCGAGAAGCAAATGCTCGTCGGAAAATATCTGAGAACTCCTTATCCAGACCGCCAATTCCCATTTTCTCAAAGTTCCAGTCAGGATTGATGATCGACTGGCGATTTTCCTTGGTTTTAGCTTTGCCTGTGCCAAACAAATAGAGTCAAGTTTGTGCAGAAAGCACCGTGGTTGAGCATAAGAAGGACAGACGCCCCTGGACTTCCCAAGCGAACTGACTCACAGCTGTTCTGTGAAGGTGGACGGCACACTCTTGGTGGATTTTCTAGCGAGAAGGGTAGGACTAATTTACCAAGCTTGTCCCGCTCCGTTCATGGTCAGTAATAAACTTCCAAAACCAACTAAACTGATGCCGTCTAGCCTACCGGTAATCATCGCATGGAACTCAGTTTCATTAACCTTTAATCCAACCAAATTAACTTAATTGTTGAAAGGAAACACTGTATGCATTTCTGATGTAACTCCACTAGCTCCAGAAATGTTGCTGACAGCAGGTACTTGCTCCAGGTATTTATCTACCTAGCGTAGGTGGATGCTGGTGGACAGCCCATAGGCCTGACATGTGTGGAATGAGTTTGAGGTCTTGTCACATGTACACAGAAGTCTGAAAACATTCTAAGGGCTTTAATGACTGCAAAAGGTACACTTATGAATTCTCTCATAAGGGTAAATACTGCTTAAATGTCAGAGCGCCACCTACAGTAAATCAGGAGAACCACACCTATTTCAGACACAAAGAACAAGGTACCTTAGCACACTCTAAACAAAAGGGAGAAATACGGTTTTTACAAAGCCAAGAAAGAAAATATCACACTAAAAAAAAGAAAGACAACTTTAGATTAAAAAAAGAAAAATTCTGGTTAGAGTTTTGTAGACTAAAGATTTCCTTTAGTAGGCGATCAAAAATATTTTGCTTATACTGTACTGCCCTCTTGTGGTCAAATGTTCTGTATGCCGCATTATTACACAAATTCATTTTCCAAATGAAATCACATCTTCACATAAGTTATTGAAAACACCTACATAGTCCAAAAGTTACAGAATTTCCTCGGGATAAGAGATCTTAACAAAAAGCATACATAAGAAAAGTAGAAGGAAATCACCCAAATATCCTGTGTCAGGACATTATGCTACATCCTTCATAAAAATGATATATATATTTGGATATTACCATCATACTGTAGAGATATACTTAAGATGCTTGAACCATGTTAAGCGAGAAAAGCAAATTAAGGGTTACTTGTGTGGCTTGGTGAGTTAAGGCTCTTGAGGCCTGACAACCTAAGCTGGATTCCCAGGACTCACACAATAGATGGAGAAAACTGACTCACAAGTTATCCTCCGACCTCTACACATGTGCCATGCCGCACATGCCTAAATATGTGCGTGCGTGCGCACACACACACACACACACACACACCCCATAAGGTAGATTATAAAATAATGCGCAAATACAATCAAATTTAGAATGGGTTGCTTTTTAGCACACTTGTCCATATGCCTTGAATGCTAGCTCCCCTGAGTACTCGGAGCCAGAGGTTTACATGTTCAAGGCAGGTCTGGCTGGTGGGAAGACTCAGCAGTTAAGCATAACCTGCTCCTGCAGAGGACCTGCGGGTGGTTCCCAGTGGTCATGCTGACAGGCTCATAACCACCTGCAGCTCCAGGTCCGGGGGGTCCGAAGCCATCCTCTGGCCTCCAGGGGCTACTGTCCTCAGTGCACATATTCACCATACACAGACACACGCTTAGTGGGAAAAAAAAATCTTTTGCTTAAAAGGTGAAAGAGAAATAAATAATAGAGACTGGTAAATTACTTACTGAAAAAGAAAAAAAAAAAAACCCACACATTTAAACAAAGTTAAGTAAGTAACTTTGGACGCGACTGTGTAGCTAATGAAAAACTTCTCTGTTTCACTGGGACAGACATGAATATAATTGTATCAACAACAAATTTGAGTTAGTACATCAATATTTACATAAATTGCTATTCTTAGAGATTAAACTGCATCATCTTAACATATCAAAGCAAGGCTAGTAATCCAGAACAAATCTGTTGGGAAGAGTTTAAGCACACAGTCATCTCTCAATCACCAAAGAACGGTGATGACAGTTCATTTAACACAGCAATCAGCTGAGGGGCTGTCCGGCGCTGAAGATCCTAACAGATAATGAAATTCTGAGGGGCTGTCGGGCATGGGAGAAGATGCACACCGAAAAACTATGGGTAGGGTGGGGTGATCCCCAACTGAGACCCTAGAACAGAGAAAGGGCAGAATGCAAAACCTGGGAAAATCCAAGTAAAGACAGTGGTTTGGGAAGCAGCAATAAAAAATAAATAAATAAACCCACGTGAACTTGGTTGGGTAACTGTACTATGTAACACTCATACCGGGGAAACCAGCAAAGGCTGCAGAAATTCTCTGAGATACTTTCACAAATCTTTGTGAGCCTAAAATAACCTTAGAATTTCAAACTAAAAAATGTCATTGTTTCCTTTAATCATTTTTAGTATGGGTATGAGAAAAGAAAATTAAAATGTGCCCATGTGTTTCACACTGACTCTGTTGGACTGGGCACTCCAGACAAAGGCTAGAGGCCTTGTATCAGCACATCTGACAGTACAAAATATCCCGATTCTGTGGCAAGCCTTCAGGGGGGTGGTCCCCTCTTCCACACCTGAAAATCATGTTACATAAGTCATATGCACTATCAGACACACTTCTACTTCTTTTGAAATTTTCTAAAACTGTAAATCTTACCAATAAGATTGAGCGATGAGTTTTCTGCTTTTTCAAATGCAACTTGACTGTTTCCAACAACCAGCCCTACTTCAATCTGCACAGAAAGATGACAATTAGAAGGCAGTAGACGTCTCAGGGCGAGACTAGACTCGGGGGGCAAGGAAGTTTTTTTGTGCAAAGCAAACCTTGCAACCAGTCATCTGAGTTATATCTGCTTCTCCCATGGCTATCTTCTACAATTCCCATGCGGCAATGTTTATAGTTTTTATAGATATCTGTATTCCACTAAGAATAGAAGTACAAATTATGAGTAGATCTGCAGCTAGGTTTGCTTTTTTTCTTTCTGAGTGTTTTGTGTTTTCTTGTTGTTGTTGTTTTTCTTTAAAATATATATATATATATATATTATGGATTGAGAGCCTTGTCTTCACACACACCAAAATGAGGGCACCAGATCTCATTATAGATGGTTGGAGCTATAGATGGTCCCAGCATGTAGTTGCTGGGAATTGAACTCAGGACCTCTAGGAACAGCAGGCAGTGGCTCTTAATCCTTGAGCTATCTCTCCAGCCTTTTTTTTTTTTTTTTTTTTTTTTTTTTTTTTCTCAAAACAAGGTTTCTCTGTGTAGCCTTGGCTGTCCTGGACTCCCTTTATAGATGAGGCTGGCCTTGAACTCACAGCGCTCTGCTGGCCTCTGCCCAAGTGCTGAGATTCGAGGTGTGCACCATCATGCCCAGCTTAGCATGCTTTCATCCCTGTTTCAGTAGCAGTGCTGCCTACAGCAACAGTGTGGCCTTAGCAGTCTAGAGGGAGAGCACACCATATGAGAAGCTTCTGTACCAGAATAGCTGGGGACCTACCGGCCTGCACAGGTCACATCAGAAAGGTTACCTAACAAAGACTAGGAGAAGGGCTTACCTTCTGCCTTTTACCTGACGCAGGCTCTCCCTTCAGGATGCTAGGGTCCATGGCTTCAATATCCTTCACCAGTAAACCAAAGAGCTTATCATTGAAGCTAAAGACAAGCTGTGGAGAGAAATAATGGGAGGAAAGTTACCTCGTGACACGATGGCTTCTTCCCATGTCACCAGTGTTTTCCAAAGGTGAAAAACCAGTTTCCTTTTGCGCATCCTTCTTGGGTCTACTCCACAATTACGCCACTCACAGACCCGGTGACAGAGAAAAGGAGACTCAAGCATGAGTACACTGGGAGGTGACATAACCAACGCTCACAAATTCTTTGGGAAACGACTAGTAAGAAAGCTGAGCTCCAGCTAGGTGGTGGTGGTGGTGGCTCATGCCTTTAATCCCAATACCCGGGAGGCAGAGGCAGGAGGAGTTCTAAGTTCAAGGCTAGCCTAGTCTACCTAGGACAGCCCAGGCTACACAAAGAAACCTTATCTCAACAAACAAACAAATATTGTTCTTGTTGTATACAGTTTATTAAATGTTAGAGAAAGGGCCATTTTTTTTTTAAAACTAAAAAGAGGCAATGTAGTGAGAGTTTTGGTTTCCTTAAAAACCCAGTGATGTCAGGTAAATGTTTTTGTTTTAATCCCAGGTGTTGGGTAAGGAGCTGCTTCACAGCAGGTGATGATGATTTGCCTCATGCTCTAGCAGAATTTTGCCAGCTGCAGATAGTTTAATTTGGGGATCTCGGGAGAGGGTATAAATGGGAGAGTCCCGAGAGGGCCTTGGCAGCTGCTGCTCCCCCTGCTGCTGTTCCCGATGCTGCTGTTCCCGATGCTGCTGACCCCTATGCTGCTGACCCCTGCTGTGGCATTTGCTATTGCTGGATTGCTGGTTTGCTGCATAGTCTGATGAAGAAGATTGGACTTGCCCCCAGGAACATGATGACCCCGATCAAAAGGAAGTAGTTTAAAGAGGTATACGTTCCCTTCTCCCTCTAAACTTCTTTTTCGCCTACCTAGTGTTAGGGGGTTGGAAGGATTTGGGGTGGAGAAGGGTGGTAGATATAAGAACCCAAATAAAATAGCTTTAAAGAAGCTATTTTGCCTATAATGGCATCTAATGTTTCTGGATAATGGGAACCTTGGTTTCTGATGCTTAGAGGAGATGGCAGGGTATGAAGGAATGGATACTCTGTTTCAGGATGTCAGCAAAAGTTTGTTGTGGCTACAGATACTGATTCTCTCCTGCTTTGCTCCTGGGGCAGTTTCTATTTCATCTTCTTCCTATATTGCATTTCAAAAAAGGCTGGGAGAGTGGCTGAGCAATTGGAAAAATTGTGAGTTCATATGGAGGGGCCTGAGAAAGAAAAAAAAAAATGATGAAATAGGAAAGCCAGAGTTGGCTGTGCAATGAGAGAGGTGACAGGTGGAGCCAGGAGGAAGAGGCCGTGCAGGGTGACAGGGTTAAAGAAAAGCAGCCCATTTGGAGAGAAAGGGCCAATCACTCAGGCACAGCCAGGAGTGGCCTGGGATTATGAAGTAAGTCACCATCAGTTTTCCCATAGTTGTGCAGCACATGCCTGCTAATGGTTCTGACCATGGTTCAGATGAGATGACGTGGGTAAAAAGACTATTTCCTATGGCATGCATTCCCCCTTTGTTAAACAAATATTAAGTAACTGGGCTACCCAAAATAGAACTATTCCCCAAGATTGGAAGGGTCTGGTAACAACAGCTGTACTAGAGGCTAGTCAGCAGTTACAACGGTTAACATGGGAGAGGGAGGAGGCTGTGAATATAGAACGATGAAATAGAGCAAAGGGAATAAACACTGCTAAAGATCAGTGCCAGACAGGTATTGATGATACCCTGGCATTTGAAAATTCTAATACCAATTGTAAGAGAGTAATCAGATCATTAAAGGGACAAGCAGCACCAAAGGCTGAATAGATGAGAGACACAACTAATCTTGGCTCTCATGAGCATCGTGCCAATATCATAGGACAAGCAATAACTAAAGGTCTCAGATACCAAAATACTTGGTGCTTTAATTGTGGGTGAATGTGGCCATTTACAAAGAAATTGGCAGGCGCATTAACTGAGGAATATGGAACATTTCTCTGGAGAAGTAAACAAGCCATTTGTGCCAGCAATGGAATGGCTAGGCTTCCTGTGGGCTTGCAGATAATGTGGTAGAGGGCATCACTGGACTAATGAGTACAGTTCCAGGAGGCACATACACGGGAATCACTTGCCATGTCCATTAGGAAACAAATGGACCTGCCAGCTCAAGGTCCTGCAGCAAAAAATACCAGCTGTTTCCTTCTGGCCAGCCAGAAGGTAACAAGCAGTCAGGGAAACAGCAATTAAGTATTGCTGATCTCACAAAATAACCACTGGTGTTTATGGTACTTTGCCTTCAGAGACAGGGATGATCTTGGGAAGAAGTGGATTAACTTCCCAAATATTCATTGTGCATCCAGGTTTTATAAATGGGGATTGCCAAGAAGTAGTAAAATTTTGAGAGAGAGAGAGAGAGAGAGATTAACAAATTAACACAGGGAATAGAATTGCTCAGTTGTTACTGTTTCCCTACATTAAGGGCAAAGCTGTTCCAGTAGAAAGAACAGGAAGATTTGGAAGTACTGGGAAACATGTGTTCTGGCAAACAGTGGTTAATGATCATAGACCAAAATTAAAATTCTTGGTGGATACAGGAGCTGATGTGATTATCATTTCCCAAAAATCTTGGAAGTCAGAACGGCCACTTCAGAAGGTTTATACACAGTTTATAGGAATTGGAAAGTTATCTCAAATAAGATGAAGTGTATGATGGGTTATATATGTGGGACCAGAAGGGCAAACAGGAAAGTTGAGACCTTATGTGGTTGATAGACCCATAAATTTATGGGGGAGGGATCTTTTACAACAATGGGGTACTCAAATTAACATTCTTGCAATCCTGGGCCAACTCATGATGAAATTAGAAGAGAAATGATAGAAGCCCCTGGGGAAGGTGGTGATATATGTCACAAAAGCCAATCACAAGCTGTGCCCACTGTCTGCACACAGGCCATCACAGGTTTGTCAGTCAACCACTTTAGGAGTAGGGCTGTTGGTACTGCAGAGCAGTGCCCCCCCATTACAAATTTGAAAAGTTGCTTGCACAGGGAATGTTAAATAGTCCAGCTTCGTGTCATATTTTGTGCAACAACCACTAGAAATAATTCGTAGGGCTGGAGAGATGGCTCAGAGGTTAAGACTGACTGCTCTTGCAGAAGACCCTGGTTCAATTCCCAACACCCACATGGCAGCTCACAACTGTCTGTAACTCCTGTTCCAGGGGATCCAATACCTTCGCACAGTCAAAACACCAATGTAGTAACTATTTGGGAGAAATTCATGACAAATACGGTAAAAGCAAACATGTGCAGTTTATGAAAAGGACTAACTGGTTTCTCCAATGTATTTAAAGAAAATGACAATTCCCGAAGCACCTTCATTCTATACTGATACAAATAAGTTGGGAATGGCAGGCTATAAGTCAAACAAAATAAGTAAAATGATCCAAAACCCATATATTTCAGTGCAAAAATCAGAGTTGTATGCAGTCCTTATGGTATTATTAGAGTTTCCTGAATCTTAATTACTGACTCTCAATATGCAGAAAGAGTTGTTTTGCATATAGAAACTGCTGAATTTGTGCCTGATAATTCAGAATTAACTTTGTTATTTATGCAACTGCAACAGGTAATCAGAAGTAGAAACTATCCATCATATATTATTCATTTGGTCTCATACAGGTTTGCCAGGTCCACTGGCACAAAGTAATAAAGAAACTAATTATTAATTGGAAATGTGGTGTCGGGTGTGGCGGTGCATGTCTTTAATCCCAACACTTAGAGAGGCAGAGGCAGGTGGATCTCGGTGAGTTTGAGACCAGCCTGGTCTACAAAGCAAATCCAGGACAGCCAAGGCTACACAGAGAAACCCTATCTTGAAAAATAAAATGAAATCTGGCAGGTAGATGTGTTTCTTTTTCCAGAATTTGGAAAAGTAGTTTGCACACCGTACCATTGATACATATTCAAGGATCAAGGGGCAACTGCTTTGAATCTGAAAAAGCCGATTCATTAGTTACGCATTTATTGAAAATAATGGCAATTATGGGGATACCTACACAAATTAAGACTGATAATGTCCCACATATGTACTCAGTAAAATGAAGAAATTCTTTGCATATTATAATATAGAGAACATTACAGGTATATCACACAATCCTACAGGACAACCAGTTGTAGAAAGAAATAATTGCACCTTAAAAGAAATACATATAAAACAAAAACGAAGAGTAAAGACTTCCAGGAAGAGACTAAATAGTGTTTTGTTAACTTTAAGTTTTCTTAATATTAATGAAAAAGGAAGAGCAGCAGCTGAAACACACTGGATTATAGTAAAAACTGTGAAATTAGATCAAGCTATGTATACAAGGATGTGTTGGCATCAGAATGCAAGCCTGCAATACTTTTGCATTGGGAATGCGGTTTTGCTTATGTTTCTACAGGGAATGAAAAAAATACAAGGTAATCCCAGCATTCAGGGAGACAGATCTCCATGAACTCGAGGACAACCTGATCTACCGTGAATCCAGGATAGCCAAGACTACACAGAGAAACCTTGTCTTGAAAAACAAACAAAACAAAAAACGAAAAACAAAACAAAACAAAAACAACAACAACAAAAAAGAAAAAATACAGTTACCATCAAAACTTAACAAAGATTAGATTTCACCAGGGTAGACCTCCTGCTAGCCGAGACAAGAAAATCTCTGTATAACCAATGAATCTTTTAGCTACCTAGTCCTCATGTTACTATAACATGCCATCCTTTTATATAGCATGCACAGAGATTTAGATCACAGCTTGGTGACACAGTCCAAACAGACTTATAAAGTTGATAGATGAAAGATAGAGTCTCTCAGCTGCTCAAACACAGAGCAGAAAACCATCTTTAGCTGATCTGTGCACACCACACATTCCATAGATATGTTAATGTGGAAATGCACCTATAATATTGCCTTTAAAAATCTGTGTTTTCAGAGCAAAAAGACCAGAT